TATGGCTTCTGAGGCATGTGGTATGATGGTAAAGCTATACGAAAGCACTTCTAAGGTAAGCTGGTGCACCGCCCCAATACCCGAGCTTTTGTTTACTCCCATAATGGTATTACGATTATATCTGAAGACTGATACCTGCTATATAGATGCTAAGTATGTTTAAAGTTAATCCTTTTTTTTTGTTTTCGTAGACTTCTCGTTTGTCGTTAAACCGCTTCGATCGGTGGAGCTAAGGAAGATCGAAGATCAAAGGTTTTAAGCACTATTTCTGATCGATCGGACATTCGATCTCCTTAACCCGACCGAAACACACACATACATATATACAATACACTTGTGGCCCAGAAAATGTTATTAACATGACTTCTTTTTTTGTTTCTTTTCAAATGAATTTTTTCTTTCTTTTTCGTAGCAGCAGGATATCAAAAAGATCCGAAATGTAAAATGTTTGACTGTTTGCTGAACATAGAGGAGACTATACTCCATAACACGCACACCCACACACACACACACAACACCAACTCACACCTACACACATATATACACACTCACACTTAGTTAGCAAGTTTGTAGTGCGAGATGCTTTCTAGGTGAAGTTGCTTTTGAAGGCACTGCGAAACGCTTGAGAACGAGAACATCCAAAACCAAATAGAATACCGCTTCAACTTTTCCTGCGCTGGAAGAAACAGAGCCTATAGCCCAGTCACACACACCCAAAAAAAAAAACAAAGACAACCAAAAATACACACACACACCCCCAAAAATAAAACAAACACTACAACTACAAGGCAAACTGGTAAACCCAAAAAATTTAGTGAAAGTTTTCTTGCGTTTTCCCTTTGAACTTTGAAATTTAATATTCCTATTGCATACCCTTATATTATCCGTACATGTATCTATCTACCATATTTGATTGACTTTTGCAGGCTTGTTTGTATGTATATGTAGTAAGTATTTGCCTTGTTTCTGTGTGATGTCCTGTGAGGAGCGATTGTCCCCTGCTTAATAACCGAACCGAGCTTATACCCTCTTTTTTTTCTCTCGTTTTCAGCATTTACGGCTGACGCAGTAACAAGTTTGAAATGCGCTTCAAAAATTGTGAATAGCTGATGCTGCTGCCAAATGAGTTTTAATTTATTTACTATTTAACACATGCCATTTAATTATTATTACTCATCCTTTTTTTTCTGCCTTTTTCAGTTTGCCGCTTAGCCTGCGCTTCATAGCCGTTTTTATTTTAGTTTAATCCCTTTATTTGCAGCGTCGACTAACCGCCCAAGCCCCCAAAAAGTATGCTACTGTTTTATAATTTGCTAATTTGCCTGCTGCTGCTGCCATCGAGCTTAAAAACCAAACCAAACCAAAACAAACCGAACTGAACCCGAACTAATCTACGATAGGTTTAAGTGCGTTTTGCCTTTTTGCATATGCGAACAACAAAGCCAGAGATCCAAAAAACTTTTCCCACCAGCAACAAGTTAATTACACGAAGGGTTGCGGTCTGCAAGGCCGAAAAAGCCGTAATTACAGCACGAAAACATTGTTATTTTAATGGGGGCGTGGTGTCACACATTTACATTTATTAACTCGTGTCCCGTGTGGCGCCCAAAACTTTATTCTCACCTCTTTCACCAAGTTTTTTCTCCCCGAGGCTTCCACTTTATATTAGCATAATTCGAAATCAGGGACAGTTAACGAGGTGGAAGATAGGTCCAAATCTGACCAACATACTGTTAAATTTCAGTTTCAGATACAAGTAAATCTTGTTTTTCGCATATGCAGCTTAAGCTTAATTTTAAGATTTTTATATAATCCTATTTGTTTTGATTTCTTTAATGGATTTACAAACAATATAATTATTTACTCTAATTTTTCTACCTTTTTTACATGCTTACACACATGCGCAAAAAATCAACAATATATAATATTTAAAACATGAAAACAATGTTCTTACCATTTGCATGCAACTCAAACAAAACGATACCAAATGTTTATATCTATTTAATTTATGAATAACGACAATCACGCACGGATTTGGATCGAAAAAACAAAACAAATGCTGCATGGAAAACCAACAAAAACCGAAATTAAACTTATTATGTGTATTTTTGTGTCCACATATATTTTCATTTTAATTTTTATTATCACCGAACCACACACTCACCAATAAACACACACCTATATTTCTATATAATAATTTGTCTCATAACGCATATTTAATTTGAGGCATGTTTTTTCGGCTTTATGACCATATAAATATGGCCTCATAGCGAATCCGAAAATACCCTTGAACGCCTCCTGTGTCATCTACACGGATGCCAGTGGCCAGGTACAGTCTGCCCTGACTATCGGTGCCATCCGTAGGCTTCCTGCATGAGCGCTTGCCCATTCCCTATGCTAAGTTTTGTTCCTTTTAAACCTTTAACCATACCAGAAAGTGGAAGTAAAACACAACTAGAGCAGCAAGTATTAGCTGAGACAACTTTTCCCATGTACAATTTTATATCCAGGGTGGCAGGAAGGGGTTTGAGCCATTGAGTTAATCAAATTAAATGCCCTGCCGCTCCTCAGACAAGAGCCAACAATCAAACAAACATATACAGTAAACAAACAAACAGTGCCAAAGGCGCGGCTCCGAGACGATGACGTTGACTTGGTGATGTCAGGAGCTATGGCTATGACTATGGCTATGGCAATATATACATGAGACATGAGCTGGACACACCTTGGGGTGTCATAGCTGTTAGCAGTTGTTTGTTTACCAAACAGCCATCCATACACACCCACAACCACGCCATACACACCCAACACCACCCCACACCCACTACACCCACCAGAGATTTTACCATATATATAAACTGTGTATTCTCTATAAATATATCTATATTTCGATATCGTAGCCCAACCGGAGAGGGGCCTCATGTACACTCAGTGTCCGATGCTAGTGAACGGCACCTTTTACATAATTAGGTATGCATAGGTCGAATCGAATCCCTTTTTTTAATTCCTGATTGGTTTCCCGACGAGCTTCCTGGCCGATTTCTGTGTGCGCTTAGCTTTTGCCTTAGCTTCAGCTTCTCGTGTGCTTCAGTTATATGGCAAATTTTTGGCAAGGATCAAAGATCAGAGCTTTTTCGGCTTCAACTTTGAGTTTAGCTTGGCAGCTTTTGATTTAAACCCTCTTTGGTTTAGGGCCCCGAAAAAATTAAAAAAAAAGAGGCCTCGAGATATGATGGTAAAGAAATTAACCCCACCTTTTACGATCTCTCTTTCTCTTCTCTCTTCTCTTTTCTTATATTTCTAGTGCCGCCTATTAGGATATGTAATTGTTACCGCCTAGTACAGCCCCAATAGAACCTAAGCAAAAGCAATCAGATTGATCAGATCAGAGATCAAAGATCAGAGCATTTTTGAGTTCCCTAACAGACATACCACATACGAGTGAGTCCATCCATAGATGATAGCTCTTTGAGGCTTGATGGCTTCGCTTTCGGAGCTTCTTTAGCTTTTCTTGGCCCAGTTTCTGTTGATCGAATACTTGCTGCTTCCACAGAGTGTTTTATTTCGTGGCAAACTTTATTTCTCAGCTATGCGTTTAAGTTCCACACCCACACACCCACACACGCACACACGATGTATCCCCATCAAAAGATAGAAATAAACAATTGCGAGGAACACACTGTATGAATACAGAAATCAATACCCCCTTTCAATTCATTTGCAATGCCATTTTATGATTTGAATCTTCCGCCTTTTTTTTTGTTAGATTATTTAAGTCAAAGAGAAAACTAGCTTAACATACGAGTATCTATATTAAATGTATCATGTGAAACCGATAAGAACGTTCGAGACATACTACCTATACCCACATATCTAGTTAGCTCTATTAACTACGACTAACATCTGGAACTCCACCAACATCAAGCAATTGTAAAACCGAAACCGTATTTATTCTAACCAACCATTAACCATTCTAGTGAACCATTTCAATATTATAAGATATAACTAATTTGTGCTCTTTTTCTTTTCTTTTTTCTGCTCTTCTCTTTTTTTCGAAACTGAAAACCGATGATAAATACAAAAAAAAAAAATTCCCCAACCAAAAAAACCCAAATCACACAAAAAAAACCCACAAACTCTTTTTGATTTCCTGAATTGGTTTCCGTTTGCATCCTGCCATACCCAAAAAATATAAAAAACAAATCAAAACAAAAACTATGTCTGAAACACAACAAACTCTCATGCCCAATATAGTTACTGGACACCCTCCCGGTGTGCCAAGATTTTAATAGATCTATGTGCAGTCGGTTAAATTGTAGATTCGTTCATTTAACTGAAGGTAAGTGCATGTGCCTAAGTTTCTTCCTTTTCCTCAGTTCACTTTACCTTTCTATATCTTCCCTCTTCCTTTTTTCCTACATTTCCCACTCTTGGGTTTAGTTCTAAATCTATATATATATAAACGCTTTTAGTGCTTCCTTCTCCTAGACATTGTTGAGATGATGATTTTCGTTTTTATCCTATGTTGTAGTTAGGAGAACACCTCAAGTAATTCTATTTAGTTTTGCTCAATTGGCTGCAAATTTATTTTGAGAAAAAACGGTTGACTATTTTCGTGATTGTGTTTGAATTCTACTGTTTTAAGTTTGGCTTTCTGTCAAGATAATTACACACACAAAAATACACAAAAGTATGGAATTATATTGTAAAGAAGATTTTCGAGCCAAATGCGAGAGGATTTGTTTTCGGGCAGCTAAATCTGAAGCGAAGACTTCACGTTTCCCTCACTTTCATATGAACTCATGTAAAATTGTGTGAATAGATCACTTTTTTAATACCGAAAAAAACTTGAACAAAAATTTTTGGAAGAGCTTTCACTGTTTTCTACTGCCAAACCAACTTACTATATAACCCGATAACAAGCGACTTACTAACGCCCTGCTCTTTATCTTTCTATCCCCGCTTTCCAATTCGATTTGAATCGATGATCCAATATCCAGATGACAAGGTCGAGGTGATTGATCAACGTGTTGCTGTCTGCCGCGATCATGCCAACAGCCAGTGCCGCCGCAAACAGTGTAAATACTACCACATACCGATTGTCCTGCCGCCGGCCAACATCATGGCGGCCATGATCACCAGTCCCAATGATCAGCAGCCAGCTGTCCCAGTGGCCACAACAACAGCCAATCCTGCGGCAGCAGCAGCAACAGCCGGCTACAACGGCGCCAGCAACTTGATCATCATCGAGCCGCAGCAGCATCAGCAACAGCAGCAGCCGCAGCAGCAGCAACAGTTCAGCTACCACAGCAACAGCAGCAATAACAACTACTATCACAGCAACGCCAGCAAGCAGGCCGCCCATACCGCCAGCAACATATATCAACAGCAGCAGCAACACGCGCAACAGCAGCAACATCTGCAGCAGCAGCAACATGCGCAACAGCAACCACACATCACCTACCACTGCAGCTCACCCTACTCCCCCTCGTCGGCCTCCTCGTCGTCCTCCTGCTCGATAGCCACCTCGCCCACCCTCTCGTCGGCCACCACGCTGTCCACTACCTCGACGGCCACGATGCCCACCCCGCAGCAACAGTACCAGGGTCCGGCTGCAACGGCGACCTTTCTGAAGGCCCCGGCGGCCTACTACACCGATGCCACGCCCACTCTGGTGCTGAGCAGCGACTACAACTCCAACTGCATCCCCATTCAGGCCACGCCGTTCATCTCGCTGCAGGCCGCCCCGCAGCAACATCTGCTGAAGTACACCACCCAGGCACCGCCGCCGCAGCAGCAACAGCACGCCTTTGTGGGGCATCACTACCAGACGCAGATGGGCCAGGTGGTGGCCACCACCGTGGCGGCTCTTCCGGCCACCACGATCACCGTGGCGCCGGCAACGGTGGCGTCTCCATCGAGTTGCATCTAGGAGAAGGGGTTTCTCAACCTGCCGCAGGGGGCAGCTCTGTTCATTTTCCCAGAAACGTATATTAAGTCATAGGGGTGGGTCACCTCAGAAAGCCAGAGGTTTGAAAACAATAGTTAAGGTACATAAAAGTAGGCATTATGTTTAAAAGCATTAAATAATACATTTTTAGAGATTTCCTGTTTGAAGCCTTAAAAAAAAACCTTAAGTAAAGATTTCAAAAAATTATAATGCCTAGTCTTAGAAACCCCGATTCAAGTTTTCAAATCTCCAGAGATTTCGGGTACCCCGCCGCATAGGGTTTTTATTAAAAGTTTTTGCCACCTACTTAATTCATTGGAATACTCGTTTTTGTCAACTCCAACTTCACCTAGATATTTATATTGCATATACTCCTCACAACCTAAGCCACACAATACGTATACCAATCATGAATACCCTAAAGCGATGCTCTCTACACACTAGTCTCCAAGCTGTATTGGAAAAAATCAAAAAGCAAAGCAGAACTTGTCTAAAAAGGTCTAAAGTCTAAAAGCTAGTAACAAAAACTTCAAACAATCACATTCTACGAAACTCAAACATTAATACACAAAGCAGTAATAGAAGTTTTTGATGAAAATTAAAGGTTGATACGAACTATTTACAAAAATAAGAACCGAAAGTACTACTGGGGAATAGAGGATAATGAACTCTGCAGAACTTTTTCGTACGTATAGCAAGACTTTAAGGTTTAAGCATACAAATTGCACATCAAGTGACATGCATTAGAGGGAAAATATTGAGTGACGACTCTACAATATTACAAAACCAAAACAAAAGAGAAAAAACGAAAAACTAAAAGAGTGTTGTTAAATGCAAAAAAAAAACAAAAGAAAATTAGCAATTAAAAATTGAGAAAAAATGGAGGAGAGCGCAGTTGCATTAAAATTAGTTACAAACTATTTTAAACTCTAGTGTTCCATATTTCAATGCAAATAAAAATACAAATACAAATAAAGGTACATAAAAGTGGATAAACATTTAGTGAAGAGTGTTAATATTAACTAAGGTTAAGTTTGACAAACAGTTCTCCATGGCAAATAGTCAAAATTAATCAAAAACAGAATCTACATAGGCCATAGTTAAGCAGCAAGAACAATTAATAATAAACATATAACAATAACAATAATAATAACGATAATGAGGATAAAAATTAAGATGAAGATGAAGATGAAAAAGTACAGTCACGTCCTATTTTTGCAACAACGATTTACTACAAGCGAAAGGCAAACGATATGGAGGTTTTATTAAGCAGAAAGCAGAGATCAGATACAGAAAACAGAGTAAAGAAACCATAATCCTTTTTTACATTTTATAATAATGATCAAGATAAATCAGCAAAACTACAGCAAAAGAAATCATATTTTTTATATACAAAAGAAGGAAGCATCAAAAACCACACAGATAAACAAAATCGAGATGGGGTAAAGAACAAGAAATTTAATCAAATCTAAAGGAATAAGCATTTTTTGCAACAACAAACAAAGACGGAGACTTTTTTAAAGTGTATAATTAACCACTCATTTAGCTGAATTCTCTAGTAAATGAAAATGAAAATAACACAAGCTCACACTGAAATCGAAATTAAACCGTACTATATCTTCCTATGTAATAAAGATTTGTGACTTGGTTTTTTTATACACTCAAGAACGTATTTGGAACACACAGAATAACAATTACAATAAATTGCAGAATGGAAACTACTTATTATATACAAAATATATACTACATATATTTATGTCTGTACACGTATAAATATATACATTAACACAAATATATTGATTATATATATATATATACATATATATATATATATATTTACTAATGGCAACTAAACATGAAATGTGATCTTTTAAAGAAACAAAGAAGAAGAAAGAAAAATAATAATTGAACAAATGCAGGAGGCAGAATTGGATAAAGGTAAAATGGAATTAAAGTAAAACGAACTAGCAGCAATCGATTACCAGAGCCATTGCAAGCAGGATAGTTAAACGTAATTTTAAATTGGTTCCATCTCGAGGCAAGCGTAAGAATATCTCCATTCAATAACGATAACACCAATAATACTCGACATCTAGCTAATAATTGTTCAACAATAACAGATTTATCTCCATATACATTTAAGGGCTGGCTATAATATACGGAAATTTGTTTTCTCATCACAGTATCAAGATCACTATCACTACTATCTCACCTACCTGAGTTCCTCTCTCTCTATCTAACACTCGGATACCGACTCCAGCACCTTAACCTAACCACTCGTAGTACTAGACTTCAGCTCGCTCTCTTCGAAGCCTACGCAAAACTTAATCGATCACCCGAAAGTCGAATCTTTCCCGTACTCCAAATAAGAATGCCTAATAAGTTTCCGTCCATTATAATCAGACCTTAAATCTATGTGCAACGACAGAAGACGAAAGTGGAACAGTTGTAAAAGAATAACATAAAATTAACTAAAGTAAACAAGTAAAATAAATGATAAATTATAAACACACATACTCGTAGATTCTCAAACTAAACAAACAAAAACTCGTCGACATTTTAACAGTTACTAACATTTATTATAATAACGACAAAATGAGTAATACAATAAGCTGCAACAAGATGGCAAACAAAAATAAACGATGAAGTTTGTGTAAAAAACAAAGAAATGTTCTTAAAATAAAAAATTTTGACAACAAAAAAATGACAAAAAAAATATATTAAAATAAAACCAAAACCAATAAGTGGAAATGAGAAATCCTAGTTACTAAGCAAACTAACTACAAACGTATAGACACTATAGAATCATTGTACCATAAGAGATTTCAGCGGAATTTTGTTCGATTTCGATTGACATCTCCACTAGTATGTGTAGACTGGCATGTAGCTCGACTACATGGCCGCGCATGTAGAATAGCACGAGTTTGTAAACTAGAAACGAAACTTTTATTTGCCTTAACATCAAACCAATATATACACCAATATATATACATTGATTTCGATGCGATCTGCGATCCTTCAACCTTTTGAATAGTTTCGAAAAGTAATTTCCCTTGACGCTTGTACATGGCGCTCCAAAAAGAAAACAAAACAAACGGAAACTAAATAATACCAGAAAATATTTCTGAATCGAAGGGGGAAAATGGATTAATGTAGTTATGTCTAGAGTCTCCTTCATTGTAAGTCATAGTTATTACTGTTAATTTTAATTTATATTTACACATATATATTAGATCATTATGATTATTAATTGTGAATATGATGTGATGTGTTTATTGAAAGAAAAAACAAAAACGAAACTAAAACAAAAACAAAAATACAATTACTGAATGTTGCAACGTAAAGAAAAACTAAATGTATTGCATCCCTGAGAGCAAAGTGAGGGGAAATTACAAGAAACCTTATCGGGAATGTGAGGGAAAATCAATTTTACTCGAATTCAGATGGTAAAGTAAGCGTAATGTTAAATTACCTATGATACTGTAAGTAGTTATTCATTTTTGTCAGGTGATATCAACGAATTTTTCGATATGTTCTTCAAGCAGGGCTCACTCTCTGCACCCCACTCCAACCCCTATATATTTCTATATTGTTTGTAATTGAGTTAAGTTTCCGATATTATTTCTTCGTCTATTGTCGTTTTTTGTTTTGTGATATTCGCGGAAAGAGAAGAAATTGGACGGAATAATTGTTGTTCGTTGTTTATATTTTGTGTTCATATATATTTTTGTAGTTTGTTTTATTTTTTATAAATATACATTGTATTAAACATATATTAAATATACATTAATGAACTAGTATATACAACTTAACTATACACATATACAAATAAAGATGAATTGGAATAATAGATTATAAGGTATGGAGTTTTTGGCAGAAAGAAATCCACAAAAGTAAAACTGAGCGAAAGAGAACAAGTTTTGGGTAACGACTCTGACGAATGATAATTGATAGCGATGATACATATACTCCTAAATAAAGAAAAAAAACCAAACAAAATAAAATAAAACACAAAAAAATGAAAATTTTTTAAAAATATTTAATAAACAAATCATTATTACCTATTATTATTATTATATTTATTATTATAATGAAACAACAAATTTAGTTATTATTCATGTAAAGAACGTACCAGGAAGGCAAAGCAAAGCGAAAACAAATCTTGCAAAATGCAACAACAACAACGAGCAGAAGAAAGTGAAACGAAAATATGATGAAAATGAATATGAATCTGGCAAGTGAGAAAGATGATGAAGAATGAAATTATATTGATAAAGAAAATACAACATTTAAAGTTATTTAGCAGTAAATGGGAAAAAATTAAAAATAAAACATGAGAACAACAAACATCAATGAACAACAACAAAACAATGAAATACAATAAAACACAAGAAATAAATTACAAAACAAAAAAGTCCTTTTCTTTGGGGAATTTTCGGCTACTGGAGTTGGAGTATCTCTTATTAAAGAGTTATGGAAATGGAGTGGAATGCAGCATATATTCCCGCATAAAATTCTCACATCCCAGATGCATTATTTCTGCTTAGCCACAGAGAGCCAGAAAACAAAAGGAGGCCAAGTCGACAAAGGGAACTTGGCTCAAATTTGCTTTCCCTTTTGCGGGGCGGGAAGGTGGAAAACTAAGCGTATGCATGCACACGTAAATTCCCCAAGTGCCAGTGCAGGAAAGCTGAAAAAAAGTTTAGGAAAAAAGAGGAAAAACTAGGCGGGAGGAGCAAACGACATGAACCTGGCACATGGCAGTGAAAAATGTACAAAAAAGCGAAAAGAGTGTGGGCGAAATGGAGCAAAGAAACTTTGCCACTGCCTGCAATTTTCCTCTGCATTTTTCCTTGCAAGTTGGCATCCTACCTCAAACCACACCTACCCACCCACACACACACACACACATCCACGTGCGTATGGAATGGCACGTAAGTTGTCTATTTCACACACCAACGCGCATCGCATCGCTGGCAAGGACCAGAGTGGAGAAATTGCCATCTGCGAGGGTCCTTCTTCGGGGACTCCCCTTTCGATGACTTGGTGGCCATATGGCGTCGTAACTATTGCAATTAGTTGGCAGCGGACACAAAATATTACCCCCCAGCCACTCACTCAGGTGAGGTAAAATTGTCCCTGCCCCATCCTTTATTCTATAACAACGCCAAAGTGTAATTAATGGCTGCGGATTATTGATATCGAAAAAGGTGAAAATGGTCGAGTTGATAGTGCCACAATGTTGAAAAATGGCCACAGATTATTAACTAAGGTGCTGAAATGGAAATTCTTCTGGGTTTGCAGCACAGCTAAAGTTATTTGAAGTATTTTGATAAGTGGGTCGGTTAGTTACCCATTGAGCTAAACATTTGCTAGCTATGATCGTAAAGGTTGAAATTTTAAGCTCCACTTACTTTAAACATTTTAAAGTTGTAGATGCGATCGTAAGAATTTTAAATTTGACGTTTCATTTACTTGAGCCTAAGATGCGACCATTAATTTCCCGCATACCAAATTGCATATTAGTTGGCTTCCTTAATATTCGCTACAGTTGTTTGAGTGAGTATGCCATTATTAACTTTCTGACAAGATCTGCATATTTTTGGAGCTTTACCACCTGTCCTCCCCATTTGCCTGCTGCTATCTGCCATTCTTTGGGGATTATCCACCCATATCTCGGTGGCTTCAATTGGCCGCACTATCAGCCCGGAGAACATCCATTAGGGCAAGTGGGGTTACACGGTCATGGCATACAAATTAACACAGAAATTGCTTTATTATCAGGCGACTCCCCTCTGCCACGCCCCCTATCAGGGTGAGGAAGCCATTGCCAATGTGTGTGTGCGATATGGATGTTGGATGTGCACGGGGTACTTGGAATATACATATATAGTATGGGCGCAGGGCACTTTCTCATGATGTTGTTAATGATAATGCCGCTCCAAAGTGTCCTGCCTGTCAGTGAGTTGCCCACCCCAACCCTTTCTCCTGGAATGACCCTCCCCTTTCTCCCCTTCCACTCTCCTTGGATGTTGGTTAGCTGACGTTGATGAGACATGTGGTGCGGTTGTTGTTGCTACCACCGCTGCTGCTGCGGGGCATCGTAAAAATCATTTCCCGTCGTACATAACACGTAACGTGGCGTTTATGTTTGCGTTTCGTTGTCGCTGACGATGTCCTTGCCACACACGCACACCCTCACGCACACCCAGGACATGAAAATTTAATTGTCGCTTAAAGTGAGTTTAAGGGAAGCGGGAGAAAGCTCATTAAATTAATTTAATCACGTTAATTAAAAATTGCTCCAGCAAGCGAGATCCGTTTGTTTTTAGTAAAATGTAATAGTGTCAAGCAAAATATTTACACAGCACGTACACCTTGCACACCTGAAGGCCAATGGATACAGGACAACCTAGCAGCACAGTCCTCATTTCCCCACCACCCCATTCGCTTGAAGGATATCCCAGGGCATCCACACTTGTTGTTCAGCAATTTACGTGTCAATAAACGTCCTTGGGGGGATTAGTAATAATTTCAAGGGTCCCTTTCCCAAAGGTTAAGAATATTAAAGCGATGGATAATAGGGAGCAACAGTTGTTAGGTTAACAGATTGTTGTAATCCTTACACAGAAAATTTATCGAGATTCTGATGTTATAAGTTATTATAAAGTTGTATCTTTAACGGCTTCAGTTTGAAAAATATTACACAAATATTTACTTTATCGTTTGTATGAATGAGATATTTTACATTTCTTAAAAAAAAATTAAAATAAATTTAATATTACCCGAGGAATTCCTATTTTATATCGTGTTTTCAAAACTATATATTACTTTAATTGCCAGAAATTGCTAAAGGAAACAGTTTCTACCATTAAAATTAATAAGTTAATAACAACTTTATATGTTAAAAAAATAAAAAGAAAATTACCGCAAAAAAAACATTTTTCATTCGTAATTAAATATATATATATATTGCCAGAAATAACCAAAACTTACATTACTTTTAAAAGGTTATGTCAAACTATTTTGTAAGAACGAATGAGGGAATCAAGAACTAATTCATGTTTAAAATCAAAGATTGCCATTCTAAAATTGCAATCCAGGCAACTGCAAACTATGCAAGCCTCGGAACTTTCCAGTCATCTTGAGATACAACCCCAAACTTGCATCGAATAATCCATCCTTATCTGCTACTGCAGACGCTTTTCATCGCTGCTTAATAAAAATTAACTGGTAATTATGTTTCAACTGGCGCAACGCCCAAGCAGAATAGGAAGTAAAAGTGCCCAAGTGGCCGGGACCACCGCAAACTTAATTTCTGCACTAACCAAACGCTTCAATTAACGAGAACAACAAGTTTTGGGGCAATGGCCAGGACCAGGACCACGACCACGACCACAAAAACGACTTCTTCCACCAGGTCCCCCAGACTCCCATGCACCACTAAATTTCGTTAAGTTTTAGGGAAACTTTTTTGGTAGCACAAACTTATTGCGAGCGTTGGAGGTTGGGAGCAATACCTTCTATTGCTCATAAAAAATTTAACCAGCCAGCAAAGGGAGTCGAGAAACTTAAATTTTATTGCCTATAAAGACGCATTAACTTATGCCAAAGAGTGGGGGAGGAAGTGGATCTTGGCTTAAGCGGAAACGGATGTGGAGGTGTGGGTGTAAGTGGAGGGAGAAAAGTGGGCGACAATTGTGCGTGCGTAATTTATTCGCAAGGTGAAGGTCTGAAAAATGCCAACTCTTGCATAACAACGACAAATTCCAAACCAAGAGTACGGATGGCATAAATTGAAGTTCGGGTTTTTTAGCCAATACCTGCCGTTTTTGTGGCTTTGCGGTTTCATTGTTCTGCGGCCGACAAAACTTTTCCCCATTGATCAGCACAAAAATGTGCTCCTAATTGAAATGTTGCCAAAGTAAATCTTTGCTTCGCCCCCGAAAAACTCTTAAGGTGCTTTCTAATAGAGCGGCTTTTATAACTTTTTGATTGAGCTTATAGTTTGGATTGAGCCAAACCACTTTACTTAATAAGTTCCTCTAAAGTTCTATACATAAATAAGTAAATGCTTGGGCAGCAAGGCTTAGAAGTGGGTTTATTGCAGGGATCATTAGGAAACAGCTTAACCTACGGATTTAAGGGTTCCATAGATGCACAGACAAAAAAAGTCAATCAAATAGAAATCTATTGCAACATCTTAAAGATTGGATATATCCTTTTTTTTAAATGAATAACAATTCTTAAAAAATTTTAAATTGTAAGACAACGTAACAAATATTATGGAAAACAAAATAATAGTTACCATCTTTTCAATCCCTTCTGCTACGATTCGCTTAATTTGCAAAACAACGAATTAAAATGAACAATTCTGCCAATACTAGAAGCAGAAAATTTTCAAATTTTGTTATTTATCTGATATATAATAAATAACACAATCGTCTTAGGAGAAATACTATAAAAATCGTAAGGCTGTGAGAATGGGAAAAACATTTTTACACCAGGGAAATTTAATCATTTTTATACTGCACCTTGGGGCACTTTTACTTTTGCCACGGTGCCTAACCTTTCGCCCCCCTTTCGAAAGCCCCTTTGCAATATATAATTGCTGCCACCGCTTGCAACGTCTACACAACTTTGTCTGACCATAAATTTGCATTCCTGCTCCTTGGTTCCTTTTTCTCGCTTCTTACCTTTTTGCAGGGGAACTAGAAATATGGCCACTTGGTCTGGGGGAATGGGGGATGGACCTCCCGGCAAAGGTGGACATAAAGTTTGCTTAGCAAAATTGCAGAGGCCGGATGTACATAAAAGTGAACATACAAGTAGGGCTGAAGGTGGGGGCTC